TTTTTTTTTTGTTTGACCAAAATTTTGGTGTGTAAATTACGCAATACATATGTACACGTATTTTAGCGTTAATTCTTGGAAAGGAAATCTTCAGTGTTGAATGTAGCTTTGAGGATTATGACCAATGCCATTTTCATACGAACAAAGGTGATATTCTGCAGTGGAACCGTGTATCACCACGACCCGAGAAAAAACATCCACTAAACCATTACGGAGAAGAAAGTTTGTACATTATCAATATGCAACTATTTTTATAAACCATAAAAAAAATTGCACTAAGACATCACAAGAAAATAGTATTTTCTGTATGGCAAAAAAAATTTTTTTTTCACTCTTATCTATATCACTAATAACGTTAAAAAAATTTGCTTTTAGGTGGTCATTATATGCTTCTAAAATCTCTTGATCATCATAGAGATGAACAGAGTAGCTTAACCTCAAATACTTTTGCGGTACAAAATGGTGTTTATCTGTGTATCAGTTTTTGGATTTATAACCGAAAGAGTACAAGGGGTAATTCTAAATTTAGCATATGTCTCAACAACTGTTATGCATTTTTTATACTATATTAGTGCAAGTTTTTGTTGAACAAACCATTTATCACTCTGTTTTTATGTCCAATTTTATCGCTGATTAGCTGCATTGTGAGATAATAAAAAATGTAAGCTCAACAAACTAAACAGCTTATTTAGTATTTGTATCAACTGTTAAATGTTAACTTTTTAGAACTGAATTTAGTAGGTATGAATCACTTAAATATTGATACGTAAAATTATCGTGAGCTTTGTAAAACATTGAGCCACAGTACTGATCTAAATCAGTTTCACAAAAAAAAAAATCTTTATAAAGTTAGTTTCCAGGTACATTTAATGTAAATTTGTTGAACGAAAGTCAACTTGGTGCTACAACCACAAAAACGACAGTGTATTCAGAAAGACTTGAAAGATTCGACCGTAATACTTGGCAACATATTTTTATCAATTTGGATAGTCCACAGAACAGTTTTAAGGTATCAGATATACCACTGAAAATAGCACAACAATTTATTATTCGTCTTCTGCTTTTTCTTGCTAGTTTTTTTTTACTTTATTTAACAAAATTGTTTGAGTTACCGTAATTTAAAAAACAGTTTTTTGCTTTTCAAATTTGTCTATTTCTTCCTTATTCCTACAGCTCCAAAAAGACATAAATCTGTTGAGAGGATTAAACGGTAAAAAAGAGACCAAAAAATGACAAAAAAAAACTGAAAATTTATTTTTGTAAAATTCAAACAATCAATGTTATGTTGCAAATCCAAATGCAAAAAAAAAAAAAAAAAAAAAAAAAAAAAAAAA